TTGCACTGGCTGGGGAGACAGGGGAGCAAAACCAACACCATGCTACTGTGGCCATCTTTCTCTCCCCCTTTTTGCTCTCCTGCCTGGGTGCTGGGATGAAAACACAGAAACAGTGGCAAAGGATGGTGGTGGGGGGTTATTGGAGAGCATGGGCCTTTTACTTCATCCCTGGCATGAGGGAGACTCACAGCTTATCCATGCTCCGGTCCCAGTGGCAGTAACTGTTTCAGTGTCAGCAAGCTGCCAATGTTTTGTTTTGTATTTCTATATGCACTTGTTTGCTTTCGCTTTTAACTGTAGAACTGTAGATGCACATGTCCATGTAGCTCGCCGAAACAATTATATCTCCCAAGGCCACAGGTGGTTGCAAGTGCTTGTTAGTGCAAGGAAGCTCTCATGAAACACCGTGAGAATAAGATAACATGAGCTGCTTAGAAACATTAGTTCTCAAGCCCAAAGGCGCGCGCGGGAACTCCCGCAATTGGACCTCAGTAGTTTGAATGTCCTATAACATGCTTTACCATTTGAGTCCCCCCTCATTCTGAACAGTGATTCTGTTATGCACCTATTGCTTCAAATAAAGAAACCTCTATCCTACAAGCGTGTTCTTCATTGATGCGATGGGAGTCTGACATTCAGGAACAGATAAAAGGAAGTAATTCTTCACCCAAAGAGTGATTAACACTTGGAATTTACTGCCACAGGACGTGGTGGTGGCTACAAGCGTGGACGGCTTCAAAAGGGAATTAGATAAACATGTGGAGCAGAGATCCATTGGTGGCTATGAGCCACGAGGTATAGATAGGGACTCTGGGGCAAGTGATGCTCTGTCTTCTTGGTGCTTTGGGGGGGGGGGCTGCAGTGTGAGGGCTTCTAGTGTCCTGGCCCCACTACTGGACCTCCTGATGGCACCTGGTATTTTTGGCCACTGTGTGATACAGAGTGTTGGGCTGGATGGGCCTTTGGCTTGATCCAACATTGGCTTCTCTTATGTTCTCTTATGTTCTTAAGATGTAAACTACCTGCCGGCCATTAGCCCCCCCCCCCGCCTTGATCACCTTGATCAGTTTCCTGGAGAATGCGGGTGCCACATAGGGGAACAGTGCGCAGTAGAGTCACAGGTGGCATGTCAAAGAGCCATGTGCCTTATCCATGTGCATGCGCATGAAAGCTTATACCCAGAACAAAACTTTGTTGGTCTTAAGGGTGCCCCCACTGGACTCAAACTTTGTTCTGTTGCTTCAGACCAAGACAGCTGCCCCACCTGAATCTTATCTTTTTGAAATAGAATATCTGCTAAATAAGAAACCTTGTCTAAATTTTTTTGTCATGTTTGTGTTTCAAATGCAGAGCGAAGAGGAGCATCTAGTGCATGATAAAGAGGACGATGACTTACTCCTCCTTGAGCAGGCAGCTGCCGACTTCCTAGTGGTGAAACCAGCTGAATACGAGAGTTACTCCGGACGCGTACGGAAGGAGAGGGAACTCTTCTTCATTCCCAGCAAGCTCAGAGGTGGTGGTGCATTCTCATGTGCAACTTTGTTTTGTGTGGTTTAGATCAGTCATGTCCCATCTGCAATAATTCATTATTACTGCGAGGGAACTAGAAGAGAAGAAGAGAAGAGATTGGATTTATACCCTGCCCTTCACTACCCAAAGGTGTCTCAGAGTGGCTTACAAACTCCTTTCCCTTCCCCTCCCCACAACAGACACCCTGTGAGGTAGGTGGGGCTGAGGGAGCTTTTTCAAGAACTGCTCTTTCGAGAACAGCTCTGCCAGAAATATGGCTTGCCCAAGGTCATCCAGCAGGTGCAAGTGGAGGAGTGGGGAATCAAACCTGGTTCTCCCAGATTAGCATCCGCGCACTTAACCACTACACCAAACTATAGGTACAGTTAGGGTTACCAAGTCCTACCTGTCGCTGCAGCGGGGGACTCCCGGCTCGCTTCTGGAGTGCGTGCGCGCATGTGAAGCACGCGCGCACCGCAACCATGTCACCCGGAAGTGACGCAACCACGCCAGGCACGCTGGGGGCAGGGCCACGACCATCTGAGGGAAAACCATAGAGTTTTCCCTCGGATGACCATGGCCCCGCTCCCAGCATGCCCGGCGTGGTCGCGTCACTTCCGGGTGATGTGCACGTCGTGTACTTTGGGGGTGGGGTTCCCCCCCGGGCCCGATCCTCCGGCGGCGGGGAATGGGCCTCTGGAGCGGGGGTTTCCCCACCCCCCCGGGGGGACTTGGCAAGCCTAGGTACAGCACAACTGTCCCCTGCCACGATACAGATATGAAATAATTAATATATATATGTGTGTGTGTGTGTGTGTGTGTGTGTACAGTGCAATAATTCTTCAATGCAAGCAGGTAGAGAGTTCATCTGAGGCCTTGTCACTCAGTGGTGCATCACGGAAAGCTGGCTCCTGTAGCGCATCTTTATCTCCTGATGAGGAAGTCCTTGCCCTGTCTAAAATAAAGTGAATGGGTGGGCCTGTAGCTACGGCGGGGCCTTTGTGGGCTGTGCCCCCTTTCTTGAAAGCTCTGCCCCACAAGAATTTCTCCTGTAAATGCTTTATTCAATCATTTAAAAACATTTTTAAAAGGCGTGCGCTCCTTTAAGCAGAGTGAGGTGCTGTAGTTGACTAATCCCCACACTGAGGAAGGAGGTTGGACCTCTAGGATCCCTTCTAACTCTGTGTCAAGAAACTGGTCTCCTTCAAGGGAGTTTTCCTGCCTAAGTGTGAGCTGTCTTGACTATATAAGCCATCACCCCCACCTGCCGGCTTGTTATCAGAACTGTTGCTTAGGCTGGCAGAAGTGATTAACTTGCAGCAGCTGAGAACTGTCATCTCAAGTGGCTGAGAGCTTGCAGTTCAGAGATCTGACCTGATAACAGCTTTCTATGGGCTAAATGGTTTTTCTTCCTGCACTGAGAACTTCAGCCCCACCAGGAAAAAAAATTGCCCCACAAGCCACAGAATCCCGGCTATGGGCCTGTGAATGGGTTCGATCCCACCTAACTCTCATGCACGTAACTATAACTGCCAGGCCTCCCCCGTCCTTGAACAGCCCCAAATGCCCCTGAAATGCTGGTCTTGGGGGTGGGTTCCCCCCCCCCCCATGATCAACATGAAAGGGGTGGTGAGGGTGGTGGAAGGCTGCTGCAGGAGAATTGGCCCTCCTTTCACATGCATACATTTTTTGTGATTTCAACCCTATGTCGTTAAGTCCTGGTTAGCGACCCTCTTTCAAGGAGAAGTATAACTAATAGTGCAGTCCTCCAGTGCAATTGTGTGGAAACAAGGTGCTTCTTACACCACTAAGATTTGCTTTAAAATATTTAGAATTAGATGCGTTTTCTGTGAGGAAACTTGTAGCTGTAGTTATTGGTATGACAGTGTAATTTATACCATACAGGAAATGATAGGACAGCCATCAGGTGTGATGAGAAGACCCTCGGGAGTAAACCTTAAAGCACCTGAGATCGTTCTGTGCCTGACACCATCTAATCCGTGTATGTGTGCAGAAGACCACCTCTATTCCATCTAAAGCAGGGATCCCCAACCATTTTGATCCTGCAGGCACCTTTGGGATTTTGCCACAGAGTGGTGGGCGCAGCCACGAAATGGCTGTTGCAGCTTACCTTCAGATTAAGATCCTTGTGCTGTGGTGGCAGCTCCCATGGCCAATCAGAAGCCTTGCTGGGCAAAAGCCCACCTGGTCCCACCCACTTTGTAAAAACACTGGGTGGGCACAAGGAACGGTGTCAACGGGCACTACGATGGGGAAATTTGATCTAAAGACTGTAAAAGATGAGCAAATTGGAGGTTTCATTGTGCTCCGCATCATCTCCCCCCACTCCATTTTGTTTTTGCCAAACGCCCAGCCTTCAAAATCGTTCTGGGGAGCTCAAAAAAGTACACGCTGCTTTGTTGATTTTGGGCTGATAACAGGCGTTGTTCCCAATATTGTTCCTCTTTTCTTGAGGCAACGTATGCCAAAGAAAGTATCAACAGCAAAAACAAATTAAAACAGAAACAATAAATTACGGACTCAAAGTACATCTATAACAGCTGTTATAATAAACTACACGTTAATTAACAGAGGTGTCTCAGGTGTCATAGCTAAATCAAAAAGCCCCAGACTCAGATCAACTTAATCTAAAAGCTTTCAACCTGGTGCCTGAGAGCCAGCGTGGTGTAGTAGTTAAGAGCGGCAGATTCTGATTTGGAGAACCAGGGGGCCTGATTCCCTCTCCTCCCCCACACGAAGCCTTCTGGGTGACCCTGGGCCAGTCACAGAGCTCTCAGAGCTCTCATAGCCTCACCTACCTCACAAGGTGCCTGTTGTGGGACCGGGGAAAGGAAGGGAAGAAGATTGGAAGCCACTTTGAGACTCCTTAGCGTAGAGAGAAAAGGTAAAGGTAAAGGTTCCCTTGCTCGAAAGCCAGTCGAATACGACTCTAGGGTTGAGAAGACCCTCGGGTCTCCGTTTCAAAGCCGAAGAGCCAGCGCTGTCCGAAGACGTTTCCGTGGTCATATGGGCGGCATGACTAAACACCAAGGCGCGTGGAACACTGTTCCCTTCCCACCGAAATGGTACCTATTTATCTATTTGCAATTTCTTGCTTTCGAACTGCTAGGTTGGCAGGAGCTGGAACTAGAGACGGGAGCTCACTCCATCATGCGGCACCCGGGTCTTGAACTGCTGAACTACCGACCTTCCACAGCCTGCAGTTCAGAGTAGAGAGAAGCAGGGTATAAAAACCAACTCTTCTTCTGAAATTATTTCTGGGCCCCAGGCAAATGTTTCCATAATCAAGATACCATTGCCCCACCCTGTCCTTCCGTTTTACCGACTGCACATGGCATCTCTGCGGGTGTCTGCACATTCGTGCGTAGCTCTTTTTTGATTCTCCTGAGAGTGTGTGTGTGTAAAGTGCCATCAGGTCACAGCCGACGTATGGTGACCCCTTACAGAGTTTTCAAGGCAAGAGGGGTTCCGAGGTGGCTTTGCCATGACCTGCCTCTGCGTAGTGACCCTGGACTTCTTTGGTGGTCTCCCATCCAAGTACTAACCAGGTCTGACCCTGCTTAGCTTTTGAGATCAGGTGAGATCAAGCTAGCCTAGACCGTCCTAACTAGGTGTTTTCCATGGCAGGTTACTGCGACTTCAGATGGCCTGTTAAAAATTATTGAAACCTCTCTTTAATTGATCTGGCAGCGCTGCTCTTTGTTGGGTAGCCGTTTGGATGGAGATTCATGGGCCTCCTCGGTCATTTACTTGTGGGTGGCCTTAAGCAGTTCACCGCCCTTTGTCTGTAATGATGGGAATAAGCGCAGTTTACCCTAAAAAGGTTTGTGCAAGGAGGAACAGAACAATTGTGGCAGAGTGGTCTGTGTGTATTGATTTTGCCACATTGCTGGTTACCATGAACGACTGACGAATCACAAAGAGTGATTAATAAATACGGGTGTCGATGTGATGCTTGGTTTTAGTGCCTGCCTCTCTAAAGGTACCTGAAAATATGCAGCCACGGTACCTTGAGGACGAAGGCCTGTATACAGGAGAGCGGCCGGCCGTGTCTCTGCCGAACCAAAACATTATGGAGAACCGGCTGCTCCGGCAGGAACAGGTAAGCGGCTTCTAAATGTCTTTGTTCATTTTTGCCGAAGCTACAGAATGGAGAACTGGAATAATGCAATCTCGGCAACATCTGGCCCGCAGTCCCAGGATGGTTCTCCATTGTCATACATTAAAGAGATAAAGGGCAGTTTCACGTAACACATGAAAAGACAGGTCCTTGTGCCTTTCCATAGCAGCAGAAAAGAGCAAGGATCCAGGAGCACCTTGAAGACTAATAAAATTTGTGCAGGGGGTGACCTTTTGTGAGTCACTGCTGAAGAAAGCTCATTCTCTGCCACAAATTCTGTTCGTCTTTAAGGTTCTGCTGGACTCTTGGTCTTTTCAGCTGCTACAGACTGACACGGCCGCCCATCTTGATCCTTCTTATAGCACAGTGGCGGCAGTGTTTCTTTGCAATCTGTGTAGCAGCCTTATTTTCATTCACTTGATTTACAACCTGCTTTTCGCCCCGTTGGGGACCTAAAGTGGCTCACACTTTTCTCCTCTCCTCCCTTTTATCTTCACAATAGTTTGGTGTAGTGGTTAAGTGCGCGGACTCTAATCTGGGAGAACCGGGTTTGATTCCCCACTCCTCCCCTTGCAGCTGCTGGATGACCTTGGGCAAGCCATAGTTCTGTCAGAGCTCTTCTCTCAAGGGCAGTTCTCAAGAAAACTCTCTCAGCCCCACCCACCTCACAGGGTGTCTGCTGTTGTGGGGAGGGGAAGGGAAGGGAGTTTGTAAGCCGCTCTGAGACTCCCTTGGGTAGTGAAGGGCAGGGTATAAATCCAATCTCCTCCTCCTCCTCCTCTTCTCCTCCTCCTCCTCCTCCGAGGTAGGTTAGGACGAGAGTGCGTGACTGGCCCAAGGTCTCCCAGCAAGCTTCTGTGGCAGAAGTGGGGATTCAGACGTGGATTTCCCAGATCCTGGTTAGTCACTTCAGCCACTATCCCACACTGGAGCTCTGAAGGCTGGCCTGCTTGGCCTGCTTTATGGTTCTGGGACTTGAGCCCCTGATTGCCATGTGGTCCCACTGGTGGTGTGTGAGCCAGAATGTTCAGTTGTTGGGTTGTCCTTTTTGTTTGGTTCTGTTCCAAGATTTATTTGTAAATCTAGGGGGGGACATGGAGTTGTTCTGGTCAGAAGACTTAATTTTGTTGTTTTGTAGACGTGCCGTTTGCCTTTTCTCTAGCAAGTCCATGTCAAGATGTATATCCGAAAGAGCAGTGTTTCAAAGCTTTAAAAACATAATCGGAGTGAAGCTGTCGCTGATAAAAGTGTTCCGTTCCAGTTTAATTAGATTATCTGTGCTTTCTGTTTAAACAAACCCTTGTCCTTTGTTACTTGTGCTTTGAATACACTTTTAAAATATGCACGAATGAGAGGCTCCATATGCACTGGACATGCAAACATTGTGGCTGTTGTTAGATCTTGAATTAAATACAGATGAATCTTGTCGAAGACCCTTTCTTAGATTTAGTGTTCTCTCAGAGACCTAATGCTATATTATGGCGGCTGCACTGGCACAAGCTGACTCGTGTCTTACGTGAAGCATCATTTTCAACAAAAAAAAGTTTAATATTCCCTTGCTTTCAAAGTATTTTGGCTGGATTACCCTTAGGGATTGTTAAATACTGGGTTCTAGATGCATTGCAGTGATCAGCTCTGGTTTATTAAGTGATTTCAGCAAACTACAAGACAAGCTAGCAGGGCTTAAGCCCTGCTTATAAAGCCTGCAAACACCACACCCAACACACACATACACCCCCACTCCCAGTGATAGGTATTTACATTACACCGCTTATCTATTGGTTAATTCCTGGATCCAGGCAAGCTATTGTTCTAGAGAAGCAAGCTCAGCCCGTTCTAGGTACAGCTTGAGGAATGACTTTAGGCTCAGTATATAACAGGGATAGACATCTCTTTCAGGATAATTGCTGTTAAAGTGGAAGGAAGTCCCCGTGAGTCCATCGGGCTGTCCTTTTCCTTCGAAGAATGGTTTAGTTCTGCAAGATAGTTCCCATAAATGTATGAATATATCTTGGTTCTGTAACTGTTTGCAGGGGAAAAAATGGTTTGGAGACGATGGCAAAATTTTGGCTTTGCCCAGTCCGGTGAAGCAGTCTTGCACAAGGCCTCCGATATTCTCAGTGGAGGAAGGTAAAGAGCCAGAACTGGAGACGTTGTACAGAAAGGTGAGTTAATTGCTGTGTCATGTTTGTGTTATTTAGCGTAGCAACATCTGTTGTTACTGTGCCGTGCTGCAGTTTTCTCTCCTTGGGCGAAGTCAGAGATGGGGGGGGGGGTTTACTATTTGGAAATGCAGAAGTCTGCACAGTTTGTACAGATTGGGGGGGGGGGAAATCTGGCTTTAAGAGCACATGGTGTGAAATTCAGATCCTGCCCCCAACCTGTGGAGAAGGGCTGCAGGGAAGAAAGGAGGGGAGGGAAGTTGCACTTTATATCCATGTCCTTCTCACTGTTTTAAATCAGCATGTGCGCACGTGCACACACAGCCCCACACACCCCTTCTGTGTGATTGGGACAGTTCTATGTTCAAACACACCTAACTCCCAGTATTGCGTTTGGAGCTTCCCTATGTGACACACCACTCTGTTATAAGGTGTGTTCTCGCAGGGCTGCTTCACTGTGTCTCCCGTGCTGCACGCAAAGGTGAGAGTCTTCGGCTCGTGTGGAGCACTCCTCCCCCAGCGTAGAAGACTGTGACTCAGCCTTCGTTAGCAGCCCAGAAAGCCCAGAATAGCCCAAGCTTGTGAGAGCTTCAGACCTAAGCAGGCTGGCCCTGGTTAGTACTTGGATGGGAGCCCAGCAAGGAAGACCAGGGTTCTGAAGAAGAAGAAGAAGAGGAGGAGGAGAAGATTGGATTTATAAGCCGCCCTTCACTACCTGAAGGAGGCTTAGAGCAGTTTACAATCTCCTTTCCCTTCCCCTCCCCACAACAGACACCCCGTGAGGTAGGTGGGGCTCAGAGAGCTCTCTTGAGAACTGCTGTTTCCAGAACAGCTCTGAGAGAACTTGTAACTGACCCAGGGTCACACCAGCAGCTGCATGTGGAAGAGTGGGGAATCAAACCTAATTTTCCCAGATTAGAGTCTGTGCTCCTAAGCACTACACCAAACTGGCTTCTAATCACTACACCAAACTGGCCGAGGAAGGCAATGGCAATCCACTTCTGCTCATACCTTGCCTTGAATACCCCATGGGAGTTGGTTGTGGCTCAATGGTACCTTCTTCTTCAGCCTTCATTCAAGTATGCATTCTTTCCTAAGTGCTGAATATTCCTTTTCCTCGTGTATTTCAGTTATTGCTATGTTATTTTGTTTAAAAGCCTATGTGCCATGTGGGCTTTGTTCAATAAATAAATAAATGATACCCATTCGAATCCAGGTTGTATAATAATGGACTAGCTTAATGTCTGTATTCAAACCAAGGATTTTTCAGACAGAATTCCTCTTATGTGAAATGGGAATAATGGTAATTCTGTTTCACTTACTTTGCACTTTTTGCCAGAGCATGCTAGTATTCCACAAGAGGTGTAGCACACCATAAAAAAAAGGCTCCCATTGGAAAGCCAAGTCGTTCTGGTGCACCTTCTCATCAGGTGCGATTGGCTCATAGACTCACAGGCCATAAAGGGACTCACAAGAATTGTCCGCCAGAATTCCCTGTCCTTGAATGAGGCAGCTCATGCTGACTTCTCATTTGTCGTGAGGAGCCACGGCACTGTGGCAGTACGTCTGTCCACGCGTGGAGGGCCCCAGGTCGTTCCCTGCTGCCTCAAGTTAAAAGGTTCAGGTTACCGACAGTGTGAAAGACCTTGACCTGCAGGCCTGGGCTGGCCATTTGACTTGAAGGGAATGTTTCCGGTCGGCTGCCTCTGTTGGGAGCTGTCACCGGCCAGCAGCAGGTGGAGCCAAACCATGCCAATTCTACCAGCTCTTCACAAGCCTCTTCAGCATCAGTGAGGACTGGTGTCAGCTCACCAGTTACCTCCTTCTTGACTGCCTCCTCTTTGTCGGGAATGTTGGTGTACAGAGACTCAGCCTCCATGGTGGCCAAAATAGTGTTTCCCATAAGATTGTTAATAGATTGTAGTTGTCTTAGGAAGTCTGTGGTGTCTCGCATCGAACTGGGGACTTTGGTAGCCTAGGGTCTGAGAATAGTGTCCATGTATCCAGGCACTCCTGCACTGATGGTGCCCATGCCTGAGATGATAGAACATTCTGGACTGCCAGGCTTGTGTATTTTGGGCAGAAGATAAAAAATGCCCAGTCGAGGTTCTTGTGGTACGTCCATACAGATTTATTCCTGTATGTGTTATGGGTAATCCCTTCACACTCCTGTTTAGTTCTTTTTGGTGTTATTGAGTGGGTTCTAAGGATAGTAGATTGTAGAAAGTGGTATTGGAGAGTTGTCTTTCAGCTTCCTGGTGTAGTGTGGTTTGTCTACTCTGCATCTTATAAGAGTGAGTCTATTCACTTGTAAGCAAGCCCTCTTGGATAAGACCAAAGATTAGTTTAGTTAAGTGTCTTATTCCCCTCAGTGACTAGCCCAGGGCTTTCTGGGAGCCTGGAAATAGAGAGCAGGAAGCTAGGAGGCCTCTTTTGCTTTTTCTGTTGTAGGAAGAGAGGTATACTGGAATACAGAGGTTCCGTCTAGCTGTAATCGATGATTTATCAGTTTATGGTCTGTAAATCTGTCTAATTCCTCTTTTAAGCTGCTTGAACTAGTGGCTGTCAGCACTTCTTGAGGCAATTAGTTTTGTAATTGAGTGTGTAGTGTAGCTTAGTGTAACATTGTGTGTAGGGCTGCCAACTCCAGGTTGGGGGATTCCTGGAGATTTGGGGGTGGAGCCTGAGGAGGGGAGGGGATTCAATGCTAGGTGCGACAAATAGATCATTCTTGGTAACTGATGGTTTCCAAACCAATCCATTGTGTTCATGGAAATCATGATGTGTAAGCCATGAAATAATTTTGCCATTTTTGTGAGGCTAACTTACCTTCTAGCAGTAGTTGTGACACTTAGTACAAAACTTGCCAATCCTATGGCTAGTAGTGATGATTGAAAATATATTGTTTAACTGCTGCAACTTCTCAGCTCTAACAAAACTTTCAAAAGTAACTTGACAACTCTTACATTTTTCAGCTCTAGTTTTCCTCATAAAATTCTGATTCCATTGTCTTCATTCTAATATGCTTTTGATTTTCCTTTCAGGCTATGAAAATGATGCCTGCAAGTCAGTACATGGTGGGATCAGGGGACCCTGCAGGGCAGTTTCAGTTGGATGTCGATATTTCTGGATTAATATTCACTCATCATCCCTGCTTTAGCCGTGAGCATGTCTTGGCGGCTAAACTGGCTCAGTTGTATGATCAGTACCTCTTGAGGAGACAGAGAAATCTTTCCAAACTGCTTACAGATAAGGTAATTGCACTGTTTGTCTCTCTGTGACTGCAGAACGTATCTTTACATATCTCACAGTACAGTAGAAATCCCTTGCAGAGCCTTGCCCATATATTTTGTAACATGATGTGATGGATAGTAAATGGCTAATGCTGTAACCTGGTCTGAGAACCTTGAGTGACAGGGGATTCAAATAGAACTCTTCAGTTGAGAGAGTCAGTTAAAGAGTGACAGTTGAGAGCTGACGGTTTGGAACTGACAGTTGTTTGGGAAAGAAAGGTAAGAGACGGGGAGAGGATCAAGAAGGATCCTGAGTTAGGGAAATGGGAAACGTAGCCCATCCCAAATAAGTGTGAGGGAAATAGCTCCTAAGAGAAGGGGGTGATTCCTAACCTGTGGATAAGGAAAGAAACTGGAACTTGAGTGAATGTTCCTGCCTTCACCAACTTTAGTATCTGTGAGACAAAGAAGCTTATTGTTGTATATTTAAGCAGAGACTGCCAAGAGATCTCTCTCCTCAAGGTCTTTAACCTGTCTGAATAACAGAAACAGTTACTTCTTTGTGACAAATTATCTGGCATTTATTTTGATACAAAGTGACCTCATTCCAGTTGCCGGTTCACCTCATCAGTCCTGTACCTTGATTCCTACCTGACCATGTCCCCTCAAAGTTAAATAAAACAATTTGTTATTTTTGAACTACCATCAACCTCTCATGTGCCATTATCAAACCAGGGTAAGGACAAAAAAGGGAAACAAACGTAACCCTGAAACCTGGGATCAAGAACCAAAAGAGTAGAGGGCCAACAATTAAAATTTAATATATATAAAATATATGTATTTATTCGCAAAGAATTAAAAAACATATAAGAGCTTAATTACACCTCATTAAAAAATATCAAAATCAAACACACAAGGGCCAGTAGACTAGACCTTATACCTTCAGAGGTCAAACACAATGAGGAACAAATTGGCTTATATCATTATACAAATACACAATATGGATACAAAATGAACCAGAAAAGAATTGCTGTTAAAAAAAAAACACCATGTGAAATTAAATACATATAATAAAATGAATAAATAAACAATGCCTATATTCAACTAAAAACATATTGACTTTCTCCCAAGGTGAAACCACTAGGCACAGAATATGTTATATTTTTTTTTAATTCTTTGCTAATAAGTACATGTATTTTTATATTATATATATTAAGTTTTAATTGTTGGCCCTCTACTCTGTTAGACTTACCTCTTTTGGTTCTTGATCCCATTATCAAACCAGACATAAGAAGGATTTTAGTCTCTCCCCTCAGTTCCCTAGGCTGGGTCAGCATATATCTAAATATGTTCAAACGACTGAGTGGGACAGCCAGAGAAAAACAAGTAAAAGAAAAAGGGGCTGCTCAGCCGGAAAGAAGATAAAGGAGGAACCGTGTGAGGGAGGGCGAAATCGTCATACGTGATTATTGAACACAGTGGTAAGAACTGGGAACTGGCTCTGGTGAATTCTGCCTGTGAGTTGTGAGGACTTGGGCATGTTCATGAAAATTCTGCAAGCCTTTGGTTCTCCTTCTGTTCTCCATTCGTGAACTCACTGGGTAGAACAGTCAGTCCACCAGCCCTCGACTTCAGATCCCTTCGTCCCTCAGCTTCAACTGGATTAGGTTTGCTTCTACAAGCCTTTATCACAAACCTGTTGAGACAACACATACAAAGAGCTTTAGATAACATGCCACCTGAGTAACAAAAATCTCCTTTCCTTTCATCTGACTAAAGTGCTTTTGATCAACTGTCTTGAGCTGTCATGTGCCCTCCTCTCATAAATATCATTTTCAAGCTTTTATACCCAAATAATTAAAAGAATGAGCGACGGCCAGGATAATATTAGGGGATCTAGCAGGGGAAAAGAGTGAGGTTATCTTATAGCGAGGTAAAAAGGAAGTGTCCGAATAGTGCATTAAAAATCAATTCCTAAGAGTTGCATAAAGGTGGCATTCCAGTGAAGTAGGCACCAGCATGCCAGTCTTCCCTAAAGCACTCTGGGAAAGGGCTCTCATTAGTCTACCGCTCATAACAGGTGGGCTGCGCATTTAACCAAATCGGTAAAAAAGCTCCATAATAATTTGGGACAGACAAATGGAAGGCCGTGTGATCTAGGTGGAGGTATTCCAAAAAAATAAGGAAGAGCAAACCCTGTGGGCACAAAAACATGAACTCAAATAATCCCATCTCCTGGATACAAGTAACAAGAATTTATTAACTGCTAAGGAGAAATCTGATGACAGTATCAATCTGTTGTTCTCTATGGCTGTGTGCGTGCGCCCGAGAGGAGGCAGCAGCGCCATCAGGCCTTCTCCAGGCTGATTCTGCCCATCCGCTGGTGCTACCTCCTACCTTCTTATCCATATGGGGACCAACTGGGGCGGGGGAAGAGGGTTCTGGGGGCTGGCACTCGCAAATGTTAGGATGGTAGAATTCTGGCAATCAGAGCAGCGGTTTCACCTTGCAGAGACACACAGGCTTGGCAGTCCTCTATGAAAAGTGGAGCGTGGGAGGAAATAGTCTGCTGTTTAAGGTGTGGAGCCATGAAAATGAGGAACAAGAAAACTGATTAGAGTGGAAACTGTTGAATGGCAGGCTGTCATGAGATCTGAATGCTGGGGTCTGATCTTTACCAGAATGTTTTGAATATGCAGTATTCCTTTGAGCTATGGTTTTCATTTCTGCTTCTTTGCTGTACAATAGTTTCCTGTATTATGGACAATTTTTGTTGAAGAAGCCTTATAAATGCAATTAGTAAAGGTAAAGGTTTTCCTTGTTCTCAAGCTAGTCAAATCTGATTCTGGGCTCCGTTTCCAAGCCAAAGAGCCAGTACTGTCCAAAGATGTTTCCGTAGTCATGTGGCCGGCATGACTAAATGCCGAGGTGCACAGAACGCTGTTACCTTGCCACTGACGTGGTACCTATTTATCTACTTGCGATTTCTTGCTTTCGAACTGCTAGGTTGGCAGGAGCTAAATGCAATTAATCTGATATATATAATTGCCCTAATGCATTGGCCATTTCCAGCTCTCCCACTGGCTGTGCTGTGCGCTCCTTCAGCCATTGCCCCATCAACCGCTGCTCAAGAGTACTCACGTGCCATTGGCTGGTTGCTGGGTCTGCTCCTCTCCCCTGCCCACTGCCAGCCTGGACACTCTTCCCTGACAGAATAAACTGACAAAATGGCTGTCTCTCCTGACAAAGACCCTCCTTGGCTCCTGTGGGACTAATTTTTCCCTCAGTGCCTATTGCTAGGCAACCAAGTTTGATTCTGTCAGTAAAAAGGCAGAGACAGGAGGCCCTTTCCAAGCCTTTGTGGGGAACTCATTTGGGGCCCATCCTAATTAGGGTTGCCAGCTCCAGACTGGGAAATTCCTGGATATTTTGTGGTGGAGTCTACAGAATCCAGAGTTTGGGGAGCAGAGAGGACTCAGTTGAATAGAATACCATAGATTCCTCCCTCCAAAGCAGTTATTTTCTCCAGGGGAGGAGAGATCTGTTATCTGGAGTTCAGTTGTAATACATGGCAATCTTCAGGCTCCACCTGGAGGTTGACTACCCTAGGAATAGCAGCACTTCAGAGCAGGGTCTGCCAGATCCAGGTTCTTGCTGTGGAAGTTGAGTGGGTGATTTTGGACCAGTCACAGACTTTCAACCTAACCTACCTCACAGGGTTGTGCAGATCAAAAGAGGGAGATGAAAATGATGTAAACTGCTTTGGTCTCCACTGCAGAGAAAGACTGTAGTTTTCCTAGGTAGAGGCTGCAGGTGTGGGAGGGGAGATGGAAAGCTGAAGTCAGAGGGGCAGATAAAGGTAGGTTGATGGTTGGCTGGGAAGGAGATAGGGTTGCCACCTCCAGGTTGGGAAATTCCTGGAAATTTGAGGGGTGGAGCCTAGAGAAAGTGGTGTTTGAGGAGGGGTGGGTCCTCAGACAGGTACAATGTTATAGACTCTACCCTCCAAACCAGCCATTTACTTCTGGGGAACCATTGTTGCCAGTCTCCAGGGGAGGGCTGAAGATTACTCAGAATTACAACTGCTCTTCACATGGCAGAGACACAGTATGCTCTGTGTCATTATACCCTGCTGAGGTCACCACATCAAATTGACACTGAGTGCCCAAGGCCAGGACACTTGCCCAGAGCCTCTTTCTAGAGCTCGTTGTATTTATTTCGACAATAGGCCTTATTCCTAGTGAAATAATAATTACGTGGTAGCTGACTTGATTGTTCAGATTTATGTAGAGTGTGTTCAAGTGATTCCACTGTGTAAATTAAAATACTTTTTCTTGGTTTTATTCTTCAGCTGCATGCACTGAGAAATGCCCTGCACAGTATCTTGGGTGCCAGTGAAATGGGGACCTTTCACCCAGTTGCACAACAGACAATTACTGAATATATGCTTGAAATAAGGTGGGTGGAGATTTGCTGAATCTTTCCTTCATATTATTTGTTTTCTATGTGTAGTCATTTTATTCAACTTGACATATGAAAGGCTGGTTTTCGTGACATAATTGGCTCAGGCTGTAAGAGTGGGAGGAGACCCCTTTTCAATTGGATTGTAATTTTCTTTTTAAAAATCTGTCCCACCAGACATTTTAAATATTTGTACCATGAGATGCACTTTTCCATTTTATTAGCTAATATAGAATGGATTGCATGCTTGTCTCCTGTGGTCACCCTGTAGCTTTCACCCTGTAACCTTTGTCTTCTGGACCACTGGATCCTTCAAACTGCCTAAAATTTCATCCACACCCTTCCAACTTGCCCATTAGAACACCTTGGGGACCTGATCAAATGCCTTACTAAAACCCAAATATACAATATCCCCAGCATCCTGACCAAACCCTTCCCCCAATCAAAAAAGGAAATTAGATTAGTCTGACAGGACCTGCTAGGGACAAACCCATGTTGACTACTTCTTACCACCAAGTTATCCTTTAGATGTTTACAGATCAGCCTTTTAAAATCCACTCCAAGATTTCCTCTGGGACAGAGGATAAACTGACCTGCCTATAGTTCCCTGGATCCTCTTTCCTCCCTTTTTAAAAAATTGGGACAACATTTGCCTTTCTCCAGTCATCTGGCACATCACCTGTCCTCCAAGAGACCTTGAAGATAATGGGTAAGAGCTCTGCCAAATCCCCAGCCAGTTCATTAAGCACTCTCTGGTGAACACCATCTGGCTCAGGGGACTTCTAGCCAGCCAAAACATCTCAATACTTCTGAACAACCTCTGGACCTGGAAATCCACCTGCAAACCCAAATCCAGCACACTACTGTCCTCAAGTGGGCCTCTACTCTCCGTCAGGTATTAAGTCTCTCTGCTTTTGCTTTATCCTCTGTCAAGGTTTCTCCATTTTCACCTAATAGTGGACCTATAATCTCTTTCCCACTCCATTTACTGCTCACATAACTAAAAAAAACAACCCCCTTATTGCGGTATGCTTTCCTGGCCAGTCTTAGCTTATTCTGAGCTTTGGCCTCCCTAACAACCACTCTACAATATTTAACAACCCATAGGTACAGTTTCTTGGTAACGTGCCCCTCTGCCCGTTTCCTAAACGTAACCTTTTTCAATCTTCAACTTATCAGAGCACTTTTCTCCAACTCGCCGTAGAACCCTTGATGGCCATTTCCATACTCTAAATCCAATTGAGTTTTAGGGCCAAAGGAGGCACAAGGTACTTTAATACAACTGGGGGAGGACTCCAGATCTGACTGGAGCAGCAGCAGGGGAAATGGAATACGTGACCTCCTCGCTGAAGGTCATTTCTCCTGTTAAAAGAGCCTCCTCCTCCCAGGTGCTTTTCTTTTTGTGGGAGACAAGATAATATGGACCTGATCTCCACCTCCCATCGAAGACAACATGTATGGGCAGCTCTTTGTCCTGTGGGGGAAATGTGCAGTGTCCCTCCCAGGCTGCTCTGATCAGAGACCACTGCAGTTGCACTGGAGAAGAAAAAACAAGATGTTGGAAGACATCTGTCAGCAAGCTGCCATTATGTTTTGTGTGACCTCTGTGTACATATCCTTACCCTGTTGTACCCGGCTTGTTTTCTATCATCCTGCTCCTGTGCTGGAATGCATAAGATAACTACTGGAGGATGTGTGGGGGAGAAGATGCTGTAATGCTTGCCTATTGCTTTTCTCATGAGAACTGCACCTGTGTTTTGTCTGATGTTCTGCCTGGTTCCCATGGACTGGGCGCGCAACCGTTTCATTAGCCCGCCAGCGGGAGTGTTATTCATTGGATATGTATCTGTTTGAATTTCCTTTATTATGCTTGACCTACCTGTGTATCCCCAGTTCTAACAAAGAACGTGTTTGAGTATGTCTTCAACGCTTTGAAATAAATTTTGCTTTTCTTGAAAACGTGGATTTATTCTCGATGCTTGGGGATCCAACAACATCATGCTAAGCTTGGCCCTTATTTGAAGATGAGAGGATACGGTTTCTCAGATCTGGTGCTCTAATTCTTCACAGATGCTTGCCAATTATCTTTTCTCCCTTAGAACTCTCTGGTTCTCACAGGGCTCTTTATGGACATGTTACCGACAGTGTCTGTGAATGCAGCCCTCCGATACGTGCAGATCTCACGGATTCCCATGGAAAGTTCATACCCGTAATTATGTGCTGGCTTATAGCCAGCTAGTGCAAACCACCACCATGGTATACATGAACAAAGTATACTTTGGCTATGAGGTAATGCCACTGAAGTCATCGCTAGGACAGGATTGGAATGCTAACAAAATTAACAGGATTTTGTGGCTTTTCAGGAAGAGTTCAAATGGATATTTGTGGCTATTTTTCTCTCTGTCTCAGGATGCAGTTCAGGCTGTGCGTGTGTGTGTGTGTCTATTGATACAACAAAAACATCAAGATGCAGTTTCCATGGATGCCACCACAAGATCAATAGTCCTCAGCAATAGAACAAAGTTTGAGTCCAGTGGCACCTTTAAGACCAAAAAAGTTTAATTCTGGATATAAGCTTTGGTGTGCATGCACACTTCTTCAAGTACGCTGAAATATTCCTCAAGCCTTACGTCTAAGTAGAGACAGGGTGTGGAGGGGGTTAGTTACTAGGAAGGGCTAGTTAGAGTCAGGATGCGTAAGTAACCGGGAATAAGTATAGCTAAGATTGGATTAAAGCAGTTGGTAAGACCCATGAAATTAGCATACTGTGTACGTGTTCAATGTATCTGAAGACGTGTGCATGCACCAGGAAGCTTATACCCAGAATTAAACTTTGTTGGTCTTAAAGGTGCCCCCACTGGACTCAAACATTGTTCTGTTGTTTCAGACCAAGACGGCGACCCACCTGAATCAGTCCTCGACACTATTGCACTTAGCATATGTACAACAAGAAATATAACCTTCCTGCTTCTCTAGGTGTGTTCATAAGGTGTCCTGAGTCCAGTTCACCATGGGCTCTCTTGACAGACACCCTGACACTGGAGTGAGGTTTGGGGTTGCATGTTCCCTTGCTGCACATGTCTGGACTCTCCACACACACATATAGGCTGCGTCGATGAGCACAGGTCACCTTTTTTGTGCAGGGGGAAAAGACTACAATCAACTGTCGGTACGTCACGCCCAGGACCCCACTCATAACCAGTGTGAGGAAGGGACCCGAATTGTAGCCACAAACACTGAGGTCTTACTGACAGTATTGTGGTGGAAGGTGCTGCTAAGTGAAACAACTGACTTACGGCAACCCCACTGGGTTCTCAAGACAAACAGGCTTGCCTGCCTCTGCAGAGCAAACGTGGACCTTCCTCAGTGGTCTCCCATCCAAGTACTAACCAGGGCTGACCCTGCTTAGCTTCTGAGATCTGACGCGATCGGGCTAACCTGGGCCATCCAGGTCAGGGGCGGAGTCTGGTAGTCATGATTAACCTGAAATTTTTGTCATTTGGGTTTTAATATCGTATGCTGTCTGCATGCTGTTCCTCCCTTCTAAGGATGCTGGATTGTGTCTGTACCCAGGGAAACGCGCAAACTTCGTGATGCAGAGCAAGAAAGAGACCGGGTGTTGCTGAAGGCCATGATCAAGGTGTGGAAGGAGATCAAATGCCTGCGTGACTTCCAGAAGTATACTAACACACCCCTGAAGCTCTGCTTGAAAAAGTAAGCTCCGGCAGGTATTTTGTCGCAGAACGTGGCCCTGGCGGAGCTTAGCATGCTTATAGTTGTGTCTGGGGAGGGGCTGTGGCTCAGCGGCTGAGGATCTGCTTGTCAGTTAGTCAGTTTATTATTACAGTCATCGACCACTACATATCAATTTGAAAGACAAATAGAAAAATTCCTGGCAGTATCCTGGCTGGTTATGAGCCAGGAAAAACCCTTTGTAACATAAAAGCTTATAAGTTATATAGAATATAAAGGAAGGAAGTAAACTGCTTTTTGGTGCAGTGGTTAAGTGTGCAGTTTGGTGCAGTGGTTAAGTGTGCAGTTTGGTGCAGTGGTTAAGTATGCAGACTCTAATTTGGGAGAACCGGGTTTGAGTCCCCACTGTCAGCTAGCTGACGTGCTTTCATTGTTTTCATTCATCCCTGACTGTAGTGCAGGATCGCTTGCTTGCTTGCTTTGCTTAATTGCTGTGAGTAACTAATGGGAGGCACTCATGAGACCATGCAAACTGGCTCTGCCAGACTGTGCTATCTGTGTAACCTTGAGGAGGAGGGAGGGCTTGCATTCCACTGCCGGTGTGAATATTTCTGCTCTCATGGGGCAAGGAGAGTCTCCCGTTCATGATGTAATATCCCACCAGGAGAATTCCCCCGCACGTACGCTTGGATTTCATTTGCTTAGCCAACTGCAGCATCAGCATTGATGCCTCAGCCCTAACCGTTATTCCGAACAATGTACCTGTACCACTTGGCAATGGACTTGTATTCTAATAAAGCATAACTTTTCCTTGAAGTGTGTGTGTGGACTTGCGAGCTGTTGAACCTGACAGAATTGTTAGGAATCCTCTTTACTCCATCGGACCGAGTCTCTCCTTACTGAGATGAGCGGACCCAGTGGGACAGGGGTGCCTACCACAGTGCCAGTCATGGTGCCTACCACGGTGCCTACAACGGTCCCCACCACGGCAGCACCTGGACTTCCCCCCCCCCCGATGACTTCGGGAACGGGAGTGCCAGCGACGACAGCCCCACTGATGACGCCGAGCCCGGGAGGGCCTGTGTCTACGGACGGAGGGGCCACTCCTTGGCCGGCAGTGTCGTTTATCCCTGTGCACTTGGGGAGAGGAGTAACCTACCACTGCAAGGAGAGGGATTGGGGTCGGCACTTGGGGGTTTCCACACAGACTACCTGGTCGATGCCGGGGAGTTGGAGTCGGGATAGTATATTTGACCCCTGGTCGAGCTCGGGGAGTTTCGGGATGACCCCAAGCAGATCCATCTCGTTCCCATCAAGGTCTTTGTTAAGCCCGGGAAGGGACGTGGATGGGAGGCTGGATAGCCTGGAACTGGACTGCCATGCTATAATGCGGGACATGGGGCAGTTGCTCCAAAACCTTTCGGGGATAGTGGCCCAGGCCATGCAGACCCAACTGGTTGCTCCACGAGGCCCACTGGTAATCCCTCCCCGAACCTGGGCCATGCCCGGGGCCAGGCCCTGGCCAGCCGGTTCCTCAACCTCCTCCGCCTCCCGCTCCTCCACCACCACTGCAGCCAGCGCCACAACTGCCTCCCCCCACAGGACCGCAGGACTCCCCACAGGACCGCAGGTTCCCGTGCCTCCACCGGCCATGCCACAGCCAAAGGACTTACTGGATGTTACCTTTGATGGCAACCCAGAAAACCTCTCTTTTTTATTGTATGAGTAATGAAGTTTGTTGAGCGCTGGGCTCATCCATTCCCGGACGAGGAGCAACTGGTGGACTTTATTGCTTCCCTTTTGCGGGGGGTGGCAACAAGTTGGTATGTGAGTCTTCACAACCTGGAGGCGATGGAGTTGGGGAGTGTAGATGCGTTTATGTGGACACTGAGAGCCCGGTTCGAGGACTGCACCATAGCCGAGAAGGTGGAAGCGTTCCTCCGCACATTCAAGCAAGGCAAGTTGACAGTTCGAGAATACTTGGGGACTTGGTTCAAAGAGGAAACAACTGCTGGTATAAGGGAGATAGACTATTTGTTCTGGGACTTTTGCGGGGGAAGGTACTAGCCCTGGTACATGGATCTAAACCGGCTGGCCACCTGGGCTTTGTGAAATCACTGCATCTACTGCAGCGCCAATTCTGGTGGCCGCACATGCGCAAGGACCCGTCTCTGTATGTGCACTCCTGCCAAACTTGCATCATGTGTAAACCTCGACAGGGGAAACCCCCTGGATCATTGAAACCGTTGCCGACTCCCAGTAGACCATGGGAGGTGATTTCCATGGATTTTATCACGGACTTACCACCTAGCAAGTCCATGACCGTTATTTGGGTAGTCGTGGACTTGTTTTCTAAGCAAGCACATTTCATTCTGTTCCCCAGTATGACAACAGCGCAATTGCTGGCCAAAGCCTTACTCCAACATATTTTCAGACTTCACACGTTACCAACCAAGATAATCACGGATCGGGGCTCCCAATTTGTTTTGAAGTTTTGGGGGGAGCTCATGGAACTTATGGAGGTGGAGTGGGGTTTGAGCAGTGCTTACCAACCAGAAACTGATGGGCAAACGGAACGAGTGAATCAAACCCTAGAACAATACTTGCGGTGTTTCACCAACTATCAACAAGACAATTGGGTTGATTTGCTGGCCTTGGCTGAATTCTGTTATAATAATGCTTACCATTCATCTACAGGTGTGTCACCATTTAAAGTGGCCCTGGGCTATGACAGCCCCCCAATCCCCTTCCTCACCACAGCTCCTGGGGAAGGGGGTGAGGCATCGGAGTGGTGTAAAACTCCAAGGGACTCGTGGCCAGGAATTTGTGAAACATTGGATATGGCCAAGGCAGCTTACAAGCACCAGGATGACAAGAAAAGGGTGGAGGGTTGGGTTCTGCAGCCTGGGGATTATGTAGAGTCCACAAAGAACCTGCGGCTTTCTCAATCATGTCGGAAATTGGCGTGGAAGTACATTGGTCCTTTTCAAGTTATCAGGTTAATCAGTGAAATGACAGTAGAGTTGGACTTGCCTAAGAATCTAAAACATGTCCATCCAATGTTCCATTTCAGCCTGCTGAAACCCAGTCCAGGAACTAATCAGTGGCGCCTGGAACCGACGGTGCCCCCCCCCCCTCGGCAGAGGGTGAAGAACATTATGAAATCTCTGACATTCTGGACTCTAAACTAAAACGTATTACCTTGTGGAATGGGTGCATTGGGGTCCCCAACACAGGGGATATTCGGGCCCCTGAACATTTACAGAAATTCCACGAACGTCTCCCGGGGAAACCGGGAGGTCTCCTGGCCATTCCGGGAGGGGGTTGATTTTATTTTGAGGGGGCAGAATGTCAGCTACCTGACATGCTTTTATTGTTTTCGTTCATCCCTGACTGTAGCGCATGCGCGCATGATGGCTTGCTTGCTTGCTTTGCTTAACTGCTGTGAATAACTATCGGGAGGCTCTCATGAGACCGTGCGAACTGGCTCTGCCAGACTGTGCTATCTGTGTAACCTTGAGGAGGAGGGAGGGCTTGCATTCCACTGCCGGTGTGAATATTTCTGCTCTCATGGGGCAAGGAGAGTCTCCCGTTCGTGATGTAATATCCCGCCGGGAGAATTCCCACGTGAGTGCTTGGATTTCATTTGCTTAGCCAACTGCAGCATCAGAGTATATGTATTGATGCCTCAGCCCTAACAATGTACCTGTACCACTTGGCAACAGACTTGTATTCCAATAAAGCATAACTTTTCCCTGAAGAGTGTGTGTAGACTTGCGAGCTGCTGAGCCTGTCACCCACCATTGTTCCCTCTAAGCTGAGTTTTTTAGCCTCCAGCTCACCCATTTTTGTCTTAGCTCAGGAAGGAGGGCTCCAGAGCAAACTCCTTTATGCAGCAGCCAAATCGCTCGCTCACAACTTTAAGGCCAGGAGCTCACAAAGTAGAATTTTTGCTCACGAGACTCCATAGCTGAGAGGGAGCGTTGTTCCCCACTTCTCCACTTGCAGCTGCTGGATGACCCTGGGCAAGCCATAGTTCTGACAAGAGCTGTCCTTGAAAGGGCAGTTCTTGAAAGAGCTGAAAGAGCTCTCTCAGCCCCATCCACCTCACAGGGTGTCTGTTGTGGGGAGGGGAAGGGAAAGGAGTTTGTAAGCTGCTCCGAGACTCAGAGTGAAGGGCGGGGTATAAATCCAATCTCTTCTTCTTCTTCTTCAAACCTTTTAAACCATTTAAAAAGTCAGTTTAAAACAATTTTAGTTAAAAGGTAGAGATATGGTCTATTTGCCTCGCTTTTTGCGTTCCTTATATACCTGAGTGCAGAACCTAGCCACCTGTCTTGATATATGATGATTCCTATCCGACAACAGGTATGCTAATTTAATTTTGTTTGATCTTCCTGGGAACCTTTCCAGCAGCGGGCCGATGATTTCCTTTCAGTTCGCTGTATGGAAGCACCTGCTTGGCATGCAGAAGGGTCCCAGGTTCAATCCCCGGCATCTCCAGTGAAAAGGTCCAGGCAGCTGGTGATGAGAAAAACCACTGCCTGATACCCTGGAGGGCTGCTGCCAGTCTGAGTAGACAATATTGACCTCAATGGACTAAGAAGGGTCTGATTCAGTGTAAGGCAGCTTCATGGGCTTCCTAGTGGACCATCAATGGCTCATCTCTAAGGCTCGGTTCACTGTGAGGTGGTACGCTGATGCTTTGGCTAAACCACTTCTGGTAGGAGCTCTCATGACTGAAGGCTTCTCCATATGAAAAGAAAATCCCCTCATGTAGAAAGCTAGCATGTCAAGGAGAAGGCAAAGCTATGCCCCCCTCTCCCTGACATTTAGTTTGTGAAAAGAAACTTTAGTATGAAGGGATTGTGCAAAATATGAAGCCCTTTCTCCGCGCAGTAGTATCACATCCCAGGCATAGGGGTTTTTTTTTACTGCACCTAAGAACATAAGAGAAGCCAATGTTGGATCAGGCCAATGGCCCATCTAGTCCAGCACTCTGTGTCACACAGTAGCCAAAAATACCAGGTGCCATCAGGAGGTCCACCAGTGGGGCCAGGACATTAGAAGCCCTCCCACTGTTGCACCCCCCCCCCAAGCACCAAGAATACAGAGCATCACTTGCCCAAGACTGAGAGTTCCTATCTATACTTTGTGGCTAATTGCCACGGATGGACCTCTGCTCCATATGTTGATCCAATTCCCTCTTGAAGCTGTCCATACTTGTACCACCTCCCGTGGCAGTGAATTCCATGTGTTAATCACTCTGGATCCACCCATGCATTTACTGAATTAACTTTTAAGCCTCAGGTCATTGCCTGAACTAGCTTTTTCTTGCTCTTCCCAGTTTAAACAGACTTGCTACTTGTTGAGGCACCTGAAGGCAGAAGTAGGCATCGGGGTGTGTGTGTTTTGGACTGGTTCGTGGGCCAGACCCAAAGAATTGCCATTGGCCACTAGTTATCATCAGTGTGGGACCTACCCTGGAGGGTGTCTCATTGAGTGTGATCCTTTCCCTCGTGCTCTTCAATCTTTATGGAAAGCCCTTAGGCCAAATCATGCATAGTTTTGGGGTTGACGACTGTCGTCACTATGCTGATGACACTCAGCTATAGATAGCCGTATCCAAATCTCCTGGGGATGTGACAGAGGTCCAGAGCCACTGCCTGGCTGCTGTGATTAGATGGCTAGGAGTGGACATGACACTCCCCACTTTCATTGAGGTTCAGCTGACCCTTGTCAACTCAGTTAAGAGCCTCGGGGTTATATTGGGCCCAGAACTATTGCCGGAGAGGCAATTCAATACAGTTGCAAAGAAGTCTTTCTTCCAGCTCAGGCCAGGTCGAAAAATGACCCCTTATCTTGAGAAGGGTGATTTGGCCCCCTGGGATTCATGCCATGGCAACATAGAAGAAGAAGAGGAAGAAGAAGAAGACGAGGAGGAGGAGGAGGAGCAGGAGATTGGATTTATTCTCCTTGCCCTTCACTGGGAGTCTCAGAGCAGCTTACAAGCTCCCTTCCCTTTCCCTCCCCACCACAGACACCCTGTCAGGTAGGTGGGGCTGAGAGAGCTCTGACAGAAACTGCTCTTTTCAAGGACAGCTCTGACAGAACTGTGGCTTGCCCAAGGTCATCCAGCAGGCGCAAGTGGAGGAGTGGGGAATCAAACCCGGTTCTCCCAGATTAAAGTCCGTGCACTTAACCACTACAACAAATTGGCTCTCAGACTATTGAGACTCTTGTAATGCACTGTACATTGATCTCCCCTCAAAATCAGTTTGGAAACTCCAGTTGGTGCACAATGCCACAGCTCCGCTGTTACCAGGAGCTAGAGGGAGCGTGTGTTTTGCTCCCCTTGTGCAGTCGCTCCGTTGGCTGCCCTGCAGTTACCGGGCTCAGTGTAAAGTATTGGCTCTTATGCACAGAGGCCTTCATGGCCTTGGACCCGCCTATCTGTGAGACCGTCTCTCCCCTTTGCTCCGCCACTGCAGCTTCACTCATCTGGGCAGGGCCTTCTGTGGGTGCCGACCTGCAAATGGGCAACATCAACACAACCTGTGCCTTCTCAGCTGTGGCCCCCGTCCTGTGACACGGCCTGCCTGAAGAGGTCAGGAAGGCTCCCGCTCTCCTGGCTTTCCACAAACTATTCAGGCAGGCTTTTCTATGCAGGTGATAGGGCAGCACTGTATAAAAGGCGTCATGAAGCTACATGGATGGATTATTGGGGACTGCCGTCTGTGCTGCTGTGTATAGTTCGCTGTGGGATGGATCCGAATGTGTAATTTTGCATCAATTAATGTGTAATGGCAACACCAGCGCCGTGCTTCAGTGCTGTTTTCAGACTTCTGGTTGGCTCTACAACCCAAATCCTATTTCATTGCCTATTGAATGCCCAATCTTCATATTGATCCACTCTGTGTAATATGCCTTGAGTCCAAATGAGAAAGACGGACTATAAAAACATAAGTAAATCAATACTGTGTGCAGTACCATAAAGAAACCCAGTCTGTCTGCAGCTGTATTGTTCAAGAGCCAGTTTGGTGGAGTGGCTGGGAGCGTGGACTCTAATCTGGAAGAACCGGGTTCGATCCCCCACTCCTCAACATGCAGCTGCTGGTGTGACCTTGGGTCAGTCACAAGCTCTCTCAGAGCTATTCTCTCAAGGGCAGTTCTCAAGAGAGCTCTCTCAGCCCCACCTACCTCACAGAGAAGGGAAGGGAAGGGAAGGGAAAGGAGATTGTAAGCTGCTCTCAGACTCCTTCGGGTAGTGAAGGGCGGGGTATAAATCCAGTCTCCTCTACCTCCTAATGTGGGTTGGTTAGATGACTTCACCATTGGAATGCACATTCAGGTATGCAGCTCATCTGCTTACCTGTACTCATGGTTCCTTCTCTGGCATGGATCAGTGTGTTTGTGTATATTTAGAAGCAGTACAAAGTTTCACTAAATTTGGGAGGTGAAGTTTTAGGAAGGAGGCATTGATTCTGTATTAGGTAGACAAATTGAATACATAGGGTGCAGTATCCTGATAAGTGTATTGTTGTTAAAGGGAAGAAGTGGATAAGCAGATGGATGAGAAGGCTTACGAGGAAGAAATCCAGGCTGAAATAGCTGAATTAATGGAGGAATTCTTGGAGGAGTATGAAAAGAAAATGCAAGACTACAAAACGGAACTTCAGGAATGGAAATCTTGGAAGGAAGCTCAGGTTTGGATGGGCGCCCTCTCATCTATGAAACTGCATGTTGGCCAAGATGGAGAGTGGCCGTGCAGAGTAGAGGGGCCGTGGCAAACCACGAAGGGTGGGCACTGTGTTTGGGGTCCACCAGAGTCTTGTGTGTCAGGCTGGGAGTCCAAAGCATGTTGAGATGGTTCTTCATTCTCCAGTCTGTCATCTGGGCTGCTGCGAGTAGTATACCATGGGTACAAAATTCTATGGGCCGGAGTCACCTTGTGGGTCCTGGGAGCTGGGCAAGGTGCCACAGAAGGGCAGGAGCTGTATCTCTGTTTTAATGAACCATTTTCTCTCTATGTGTTCTCCTTAATGTTATGAAGGTCCACAGAAAATTTTGTATGGACTTCCACGGTGGCTTTCAGCAGCCCTGGGCATCAAGAGATAGGACAGAGAATGGTTCTCTGATTTTAGCCTTTCTTTTCCGACAGGTCCCTTCCCATAGGGTTCTCAACTCTGGCCTGGCAAATTCCACAGAGTGGAATTTGTTAAAGGGAAGCTCCACTTCTTCCAGGGGAACTGATCTCTGAGGTCCGGAGATCAGCTGTAACCCCACGAGATCTCCCTGTGCCACTTGGAGGCGGGCAGTCCTCGAATAAGTAGTGGTGGGGTGTGAAGGGGGGGAGGAAACCTTGAATGATCAGGCTGGGGAGTCTGGAAGGGGAGGAAAGCGATACCTGCCATGCGGTGGAGGGTGGGGCTTGCTTTCCTCTCTCAAAACCGGCCCCCCAGCAGTTTTAGTAGCCCCTTCTGCCACGGACAACAGATGAAAAGCTGGCCCCCATATAAAACTGAAAACTGGCTCCCCCCTCCCTCAACAGTCATTAACTGGAGAAGGAGCTGTGAGATAGTAAGGCAGAGCCATAGTATTATCCTCAGTGGGAGGAGGCTGAAGTTGGTTCCTTATTCGCACTTCCTTATTCATTCCTTATTTGTGCAGTCATTCAGAAGCACTAAGGAGAGTTGGAAAGCTCTGAACCCCAAAATAAGGTCTGGACCACCACATATCATATACCCCCACATTCACAGGACTCTCCCCTTCCAGGGGACACATTCTGTGTGCTTGTCCAAAGCACGGTTCTGGTGCCAGCTGCTCCAAAGTGCATGCCCCTAGGACAATCACACAAGCAGACACTGGGGCCAGGCTGCACCCCCCCCCAAATCTTTGGACCACCCCAAACGACACATACTCACGCTCTGGGGACTGTGCCCTGCAGAGATGCCCGGTCCAAACACTGGTTCCGATGCCATGAGCTTCAGTTCGCAGGGCTTCCCCAAGGCCTGTATTTCAAAGCAGATTTGAATAAGGAAGTGCCCCCTGCACCCAAAATAAGGTTTGCACCCCCACACTTCATACACCCCCGTCTTCAGCGGACCCTCCCCTTCCTGGGGACACATTCTGTGTGCTGGTCCAAAGTGCGGTTCCGGTGCCCGTTGCTCCAAAGTGCGGTGCCCCGAGGACAAGCACCCCCCAAAATATTTGAACCACCCCAAATGACACATCCCCATGCTCTGGGGACTGTGCCCTGGCTCCAGGCTCAGCTCTTCATCTCCTGGACTGAACAAGGAGTGACCCCTTTGAGGTCATGTTACAGATAATAGTGTGGTCTCTTCCTTTCTCTTCCTTTTTAAGGAGCCGCTAAAAGTAAAAGTCAAACGCAATTATGGGATTTCAAAGGGACAGAATGGATGTAACTCCTCTTGGTCCGTGCCTCCACGTAAAACATAGATACCACACCTGGCCTTCATTGAGGGCCGTTGCCTTTTGCGTGTTATTGCTCTTGACCACAAGTGTATAGACAAGAGGGAGGCCAGATGTGAAACACTAAAGACTATAATTCTCAGCTTTTCATTTTTCATTACATGGTACACATTAAACGCCAAAGCAATGACATGCTAAAGCTTTTCTTGGATATTTAGCATTTTTGAATGCCCTCGTCACTTCCGAGTTTTCAGAAATAGCTCACACCAAGCTTTTTTGCCCCATGACCCTTTCTTCATTGTGTGGGGGAGACAATGAGGTTTTTTTGTATACGCAGAAGTCCAGGAAGAGCAAGAAGAAAAAGAAGAAGAGAAGCTCCAGTCTGAGCCCAGAGGATGAAGAAATGGAAGAGCCAGAGTGTCTTGAGGAGCGTGTGAAGCCTGTTTCTCCCCCAGGGGTCGACAGGCTGCAGGTGGAGCAGCAGGTGCGGGAAAAAGCCGCCAACATTCGACGGAGACCCGGGGAACCAGCTCTGATTCCTGAGCTGAGCCTAACTGGGAACATCACTCCGACTGAGCTTTGTCCTAGGTGAGCTATAGCAGAACTATTGAACATATGAAGCTGCCTCGTACTGAATCAGACGCTTGGTCCCTCGCAGTCAGTATTGTCTGCTCAGACTGGCAGCTGCTTTCCAGGTTCTCACGCGAAGGTCTTTCTCATGAGCTGCTGCCCAGTCCTTTTAACTGGAGATGCCAAGGACTGTGTCAGACTCCTGCAGCAATCAGATCTTCGTCGTGGTCTCTGTGCAGT